GCAGCTTTGCTCCACAATAGTACTATCTCCATTGACCCACCAATCAATAATGCCATCACTCAATAATTCATCCAACCCATTAACAATAGTATTATCCATGTTTAAAGTGAGAGAAAGTAAAGAAACGAAAGAATGAAAAGCATTATCCCAATGTCACAAAAAAGCCATCATTGAATACTTAATGCAACAACCCAGACACTACCCATGTAACATGTCCATAATGCCGGACCCAAAATAAATGTCATAAAATCCTTATAGCACTAATGAGCTGTGGCGATCCTGGAAAACCCCTGAATGGCTATCGTACTGGCAATAAGTTCTGGGCTGGAAATATGGTATTTTATACTTGTGATCCTGGTTATTACTTGGTGGGACCATCCAACCGACTGTGTCTGGAAAATGGTGCATGGAGCAACTCCATGCCATCATGTAAGTTATTTTATTCTTTTATACGATTTTAATCGCATTAAAGAGTAAAAAAAGCTAAAGAGTACTTAAGATTTCGTAGACATAATTAAGGACAAGGGTGTCGTTAATTAGATTAGAAACCTTTGTTTTCATTGCACTAACTCGCCGCTTTATTTCTGTGAGATATTGTTTTCGTCGTTGTTCAATACCTTACATAAGTATTTACCGTTAAGAGCCACGATAAATTATTATTGGTCTCGCGCTAATACACATTTTCTCCGGCATAAATGGTTTTAAATTCTGAAGGTTTTCTGCTTAAATTTCTCAAAAGAGAAGATGTCTTTTCCCTCACCCTGCAAGAGTGGTCACTTACGTGCACGGGATTTTGATTTAAAACTTGCTCACCAAAATCGTCGTATATTCCAATCTCAAGAAACAAAACTCGGCTTTCATACAGCCATAACCTCTTGCTTGTTGTTGTTATTAAACATATCATTTTCATCTTATTATCTATCCCAACGATACGGTTATGATTCTTATTGCTGCTCAACAGTCGTAATCTGTAAATTGACATATAATATGTACTCTTTTCTATGTAGATTTATTTTTCATTTGTCAGGTCTCCGTCTTTGTCCCGAGATGGTTTCCCTTGAGAACGGATACATTGTGGGCGATTTCCTGGCAAACAATTCCCTCACTTTCAATTGTAATCCCGGTTATTGGCTCAGTGGAAACCGCCAACTGCTATGTGATCCCAATACAGGAAGCTGGAAAGGTTGGAATGGAACTATTACTATCGAAAACCCTCAGTGTAAAAGTAAGTGAATGATCGTACGAGCAGTACGAGAGGATTGTAGAAGAGTTGAGTTCTTGACTTAAGTAAGCAAAGAAAGGAGAATTTACAAAGAAGCCTATAACCATGGATAAACACTAATTTCGTCTTGTAATCTCATTATCTAGTTTTTGTAGGCTTATCTTAACTGAAAGCCTGAGTTTCGTATTAGAATTCGTATTAGAATGTTTCGGGTTAGAATGTAGGCAGAATTAGAAACCCTAAGTAATAAATGTTCAAAGTCATTAAAACAATGACTGGACTCTAGAACAGCTCACTGCAAAATCCATTTTGACCTCACGTTACATAAAATGGCAATTTTAAATGTAATTGCTTTTTCATTAAAGTAATTAGTGGCTGTAAAAAGCTGATATAGTCACTTTGGAACCACAAAAACTACTCGTGAACATCAATAGAACGACCAACAATGCATTTTTATCTTCCTGATCTTCGAATACACTATCTTGTAGAGGAAGCACATGTAATAAACGATTTGTGATTGTCTAGTTTGCGATAAAACACCAGCTTGTTACGTTGTATTTCCGTTTTATTAGAAAGTTACCGGCCTATTGATACCGTATTTTGCACGCGACACCATTATAAACAAACAATTTACCAACCATCAAACAAAAAAACAAAGAAATAATGGCAAAATAACGAAATCAAACTAAAAAGCGCTCGCTCAGAAAGAGCACACAATACAGCCAGATAAATACACACGTAAACAATTAAAGTTTTTGAATCCTTTGGGTCGTAGACAGTCATTATTTTTTTTTCTATGTATTACATGATATTGATATATCAACAAAACGTCGACCTATCACAGCTAGCCCAATTTGTGAAAACGTTGAGTTTACGTTACGAGCTCATTTTTTAATAGATAGTCACGTGATCAAATACTTCATGGATGATATGATCTTGAGATAATCAGACTTGCAAGGGTCCTGGATGTACCGTCCGCCATTTTTTTAAATAGTAACAGATAGGGTACTGGGAACGAGGTTCCGTAAATCTAAAAACCTAGAACCCAATCTCCCTCGAAGGATAAGAAAAGTCCTCAAAGACTATAGTTTTGTGTCTGTTTTGATTTCAGACATTGACGAGTGCTCGACGGGCGCTAATACTTGCAATGTTAATGCACAATGCACCGACACAATTGGATCATATACATGTCGGTGTAACCAAGAGTTTCAAGGAAATGGACGGACATGCTCAATAAAGGTATTTCATTAGAGTTTCAAATCATTGTTTCAAGTAGTATCGATTTTTTATACCTAACCGCTAATAATAAAATAATCATATCTTATTTAACAAATTGCTTGGTCTAGACTGAAAAATCTAGAGCTTGGTATGTCGTTACTTCCCCACCTCGATTTTAGGGCGAAAATCAAATAAATTCTCCATAATACACCCGATACAATGATATATGATAGCGGTCAGAATTGTTGACTGACTATATGTGATGTGAGCAAGTAAGCTTAAAAGATCTAGTATGACGTAATAGCCATAATGCTTTATCGAGTATGGGCTGGCAATCTCCCAAGCAATTCACAGAAAGTGACGTCATAAGGTTATCATGTTCCGGCAACGAATGGTTCATTAATTCTGGTGTATAACCATTTACTCTGCTTATGATGGCTGTATTAAGCTTTGATTTGTTCCCCCTTTTTGTATTCGTTGCCGGCACATGATAACCTTATGAAGTCACTTTCTGTGATGTGTGAAGTACTACTTTCTTTGAGTGTAACCAAAGCATTGCCTTCAAGTRTCCTCTGTTAGTTTCGATTGAAAAATGTCTGGGATAAATCTTGTGGGACGAAAATGTTTTCAATTGTTGAAAATATTTATTTTGAAATCTCAAGCGAATCCTGCAATCTGATTGATTCCTAGCAGGTTGATTTCAGCCTAAATCGAACCATTTTGAACTCTTAATCACACTCCTTTGAGAAACAAATATTGTATTTGTACGAATTAATAAAATTTTATGTTGTACAATGCGTTAGATTTCAAAATCGATATGATTAAGTGGTAATTGAACTGAGTGGAGTGCAATTTGGTTCGAAATCAAACGTGTGATTCAAAATCGCACGACAGCGGCGTAGAGTCAATTACCATTATTATTTTTTTCGATAAAACATGCACTCATGTTTATTAAACAACACCATAGAAGATTTTGATTTTTTTCAATCGAACGCTTATTGTTTTGTCATAAACATATCATTAGACCTCAGTAGGATTTTTTTTCTACAGGGACATTACCAAGATTCACAAGGTTGGACTCTTATTGCTCGATTCTCAAATAACGATGCAAACAACTGGATGGGAGACGATGCTTCCTGGTGGTACAATCTTAAAACTCCACAAGGAGACATTACGAACCCAGGTGTGAACCAAGACATGATCTCCGTGGCCTTCTGGTTTTTAAAGGGAAACAACATCAAGATCACTCGCTCAGATGATCCTCACCACACGGCCTTGCTGCAGACAACATCAAACTGTTTTTCCACACAGACCTTCCGTTCAATGATCTCAAGCTATGGCACGTTTACGCATGGCACGGAATGGGCAAGCAATCGGTGTCTTGGTAGTTGTCACGTGTCATACGGGGGACAGTATCAGTCGACAAATGGTTTTTCGCAAAGCCAGTGTGGTAGCAACATACAGAGCAGTAATTACATCGGGTTCTGGTGTGATTGGAGTGGTGGTGATGGTGCAGTGATGATGATTGGTGGAGGCGGCTCTGGCTGCAAAAGGGCTGATCATGGCATCGCAATTACTGAGGCTGGGAATGCAGCATTTGCAGACAATAGCCAAGGCGAATGTGATTTCGGCAATAATGTTCCTAGTGATTGCACTTCATCGTACTCTCTTAATTTGTGGATTAAGTGAAAACTCGACGTTTTAAAGGACAGGTCAAAGATGTACTTAAAGGCCTCACGAAGAGTTTTTTCATTTTTTTCTGGGTGATCTCCACGCTTTAAATCGCAAATTGAGTGTCTTACTGATATTTAAATAAAAATTCACAAAAATTCAAGATATATTCAAATAAAACCTGTTTTAGAAAAAATGGGTTTAAAAGAAAATTGAGAGATCGAAAGACGGCGATAACATTTAGGGCTCAGTTTTCAAAATTTCTTATGACACCTTAGCTTAGAACCAAAATCTCCTTGAAACATGTAAAATAAAATAGAGTTAAAATAAAACAATTTAATTTTGGTTCACTGTGTTGTATTCATATGTGAGTGGCGATCATTGTCATTTATGGATATATGTGTACCCTACCATTTCAATGAACCCAACAACTAAGAATAATACTCAAATTACGGAGGCTATTACTACAACCGTCATGGAAGAATCTTAAACGACATTTTTTTATATAATATAAATATTTCAATTTATAAAATTTTTGATATTTATGACGCGCACTCTGATTGGCTGATGGCCGTGTTTATATCAGAGGACAGAGAAACGGATTTGTTTTTCGCTCGAAAAACGCAGAAAAAGTTTTTATTATATAAACTATAGTGTTTTAAAAAGGATTTCCGCAACTGAGAAATTTCGTATTTCAGCACACGTAAAGATACGATATTTTTCACATGTGAAATTATAAACCAATCAGATTTTCGCATTCTATGACGTCATTTTCCTCAGGCGCGAAAATCACATCGGCAACTTTGCCTTTGCCTTTGTAGCTTGTTCACTGGAATTTTCTACATCTTTCTTCAAAAAAAACTTCAAAAAATGGCAGAAACGTTTGTCACATTTAATCTAGAAGACGTGGAAGAGTTTATCGAGCAGGAGGAAAATGTAAACACCAAAAGAAAGACGAAGAACGACCTGTCGCTCATTCAGTTATTTCTTACGGCTGAGAAGGAGACTCGCACGATTGAAGAAATTCCTCCTCGAGAGCTCGACTTGTTTTTGTCCAGATTCTTGTTATCTGTCAGAAAGAAAAACGGCGAGGAATACGAACCGACCACACTATTGCATCAGTGGAAAGACATTTGAAAAAATGCCGGTACACTGAGTCCGTGATTACAGGGCAGAGTTTTTCCCAAACGAGAGAGACTGAAGTCAAAACAAAAACAACTAAAACGGTTTGGGAAAGGAAACAAACCTCAGGAAGCATCCAGCCTCACTCCAGAAGAGCGAGACACTCTGTTTGAAAGGAAAGAAATGGGTCTAAGCTCACCAAAAGCGTTAATAAACACACTGTGGTTCAACAATTGCATTCCCTTCGGCTTACGAGGTGGCAAAGAACAGAAACACTATAGTTTATATAATAAACAGGAAAATACATGGACGCTTGAAGATATGAAATTTATCTTCTCGTGTTCAAATTTGATAGTCTCACTCGTGAGATATCAAATTGAACACTCGAAGATAAATTCCATATCTTCGCGCGCCCATGTATTATTCTCTATATAAAATAACTAAAACGGCCGCTTGTGTCTGTCTCTGTCCTCTCTGATACAAACACGGTTGGAGTTGAAAAAACTCCTATCSTGTTTATATCAGAGGACAAAGACACTCACGCAGTTTTATATTTCTAAAATATTAATTAAATATAAGCAAGCAAGCAAGCAAGCAAAAAAAATCAAAACAATTATCAATAAATATATTAATCAAGAAAGAAAAATGAGTACAAAAAACTCAATCAAGCCAACCTTTTTCTCTCTTGTAAGTCACTGTAGTCTTTGTTATACTTGTGTGTATATACTTTCTGGGATAAACTGATGGTAAAAAAAAACATAGCATCACGAGAGTGTCAAGAACGCTCGCCCCATGCTATTTGGATTGTATTTTCATTGTGAATGGACATTTTGAAGAGATAAAAGAAGCAAGTAAATTAAATTAGAATAGATTATTTAATGAAGTCGTAGGAAATGGATTTTTGCGAACTCACTTTATTTTCTGTTTGG